AATCAAGGGTGAACATTTAAGAGAATCTTTTTCATATAACTCTTAAACATTATCAAATATTATCTTTGTATAGAGAGCCCCTCTCAGTCTTCCTGTCAGCCCAGAAAGTTTATATTTATAATCCATGGAAAAGATTTTGGAAATCTAAGAGTTAATTCCAATCTACCACTTCTAGTACAAATCACGGCAAAAATAAAGACCCTAAGGCATATGTGTAGTTATGGAAAGCCAAGGGGTTCTAAGTCCAGCCATAATGATTTCCATACAGAACAAAGACTTTGACCCAGGGCTGAACCTGTGTTTTTGTAATTTGTGAAAAAGGGAGTGGCTTGAGGATGAGTTACTGTGAGAATGGTGGGAAGTAATTGAGTGCTGTGAACTGGGTTAGGTAGGAAGCCTGAATTTACCTCTGTGATGTGCAGAGAGAAGGATATGCAGAAAGATTAATCTGCATAACACAGTTAAAGTAGTATCTAATGTTTTGGGATAAGTGCTTCATCCCAGTTCACACAAGGGAATAACAGGAAGATCCAGGGAAGCTCTGCTTGCCATCTTCGAAGACCACCATCAGCACCTCAGCTGGAAACCATATGCATTGCTTACAGCCAACTAAAGGGGTAAGGAAAAGTCCTGGCCAGCTCTGCACATATCAATACATGGAAACAGGGTCAGGTTCAGGCAAAATGGAGGCAACTGTTCCTCCTTCAAGGAGAGTCTCCCAGGTTGTCCTTCACAAATGCCATCAATGAGGTACGGATCTACTTAATCCATTAAGAGCTATAACTCCTCTGCTTGTGAATGATGATGTGTGGGTCACAAAAGATGCAAAGATGAACCAAATTCTTGCCTTGAGTGATTCACTCCCTAATGAGCAAACAGGTCTCTGAGCACATAGTTGCAACCACATGGATACTGTGAATAAATAGACACAAATAACATAGAGAAGGTCCAAGCTAGTTAAAAGACCAGAAAACGCTTCCCAATTCACACAAGTCTAGCAGTTACAAGGACCAGACAGGTCCTCATGAAAAAAGTCAGTTTGCTTCTCTTCCTTCAAAACAGTTGGAAAATGTGACCCTATTTGGCAGAAAAGGAATGTGACATTGAAGAAGGCTGTGCAAGTTGGACACGGTCACATTGCTGGTGATGTAATTTATTCTAAAGTTGCCTGGTTCTCCTGCTTTGTTGGAATCAGGAGAGGTAACAACCCTCCAATGTGCCAATGGGATAGAAAATAACACAGTTAAAATCCTCCAGGACCCAAGATTTATTGAGATCATAAGTAACCCTTGCTCAGTAAAAGAATCCACCTCCCCACTCAGCTGTGTTCCCATCAGGAACCCGAAATTGTTGCAATCTAATGCATTTATATGTTTTGGTTTTCTTAATTTATTTCAGGGACCTCATTTTCCTGGAACAAGTGCTGTTATTTATGACACAGTAGCAAACACTTTACATTTATAGAGGTTATGAATTTTAGTAATGGTTTTGGTGGCAATTTAATCTGTCCTAACTATGAGGCATTTTACAATGACAATTAAATTATTATTAAAAAATAAACCTCAAATGACATCCTTATCACTTATCAACATATCAAAAGTTTCAGTGAGTTGCATTCTGGGTGGATCGTAAATATCCTAATGTACTCTTAGTGAATCCACGCAATAAACTTGAGTGAACTTAATTAACTTCTACAGTATATTTAAAAGAAAATTCCTCACACATTTTGATGTCGCAGAATGAAACATTATTTGAAAAGTGGGTTTATTACATTCCAGGGCGCACGCTGATATTTAATATTTAAAGACTCTTAAATTTGATGTACTGTGCTGATCACTGAAGGGCTCAGTCCTGCAGTGTGTGGGAGGGTGAGATGGCAAATTTCTCTTTCCATCTCTTTGAGACAGTTTTGATTTTACTGGTCATGCCCCCCATACACTGATCTATTAAAATCTATGCTTACAGAAGTGTCAAGCATGCTAATGTATACTTTATCAAATTAATTTTAATGTAGGCTTGCTGAATAGCTAATTCACAAGCTATGTTCTAAATTATTACAAAACAACTTGACTCCAAATTAGCCCAGGTAGTATATCAATATCAGCAGACAACATGTCAGCAAAGGGTCATTTGATACAAATTAAAAATGAGAGGTTTTAGTTTTTCTTCATAGAGAATCTAATAAAGGAAAAGAAAAAGTCAGTCTTAATCCACTTCCTGATGTAAACTTCTAGGGCACTGGCTGAAATAACATTACTCTGTTCAGATCCACATTTTGATAATTACCTCTGACAGCAATAGGGATTTGCATTTCAAAAATTACACTTGACATTTGACTTAAATATTGTCTTCCCATTTAAGCCCAGGTGTCTGTGCCCTTAAATGCCAGTGGCTAAATACTGAGAGCAGATGGTTCTCCTTTCAAAGACAGAGGTAGAGACACTTTTATCAAAACAACGGGAGGCATTCCGTCCAGTAGGAAAATCATGATGTACCATCTTAGATCAACTTAACCAGTGGAGCCAAGTCAGTGGAAAAGAAAATGGGAAAGAGTTGGCCATTGTAATCTTCCCAGGACCCCAAGCAGGCCTACCTCACTCTCTTTCCTGCATCAATCATTTTCCTCATTTGTAAAAGAAAAGGGTTAACATTTGTGATGTAAAGATTATCTAGCTCAAACTTTCAAATACATGTTTCTGAATTTCAACTACTTCTCCTTGCAAAAATAATGTATAAACTACTATGCATAAGGTGTTATGTTAGCACCAGATATGTTAGGGAAAAGTAGCCTAAATTGTTGTCTTACACTTTATTTCCTAAATATTTTCTATTGTTATAGAAAGTGGTTCTACGATTTATTTACATTATAGTGGTTCATTTGATATGCTTTAATATCCACATAAGGAAAGCAGTACTTGAGGCTCAACTATTACCCCATTTCCCATCCCTTCAGATTCCAGCACAATATATCTCCTAATGAATGTCTCCTAGCTCTTTTAGCAAATGAAAAGGCAGTGCTGGCTTCACTTCACTAAGTAAGGGTGTGATTTCTGAATAGAGAACAGAAAGACATCTGGCAGATGTGAACTAGTACAAGACTCCAGCATTGAGCTTAAGGTTCTCTGTCTCCCATTACCCAGTGCATTTTCTTTTTCCAGATTTGAAACATTTTTCAGAACCATAATATGTTCTTGGAGTTTTAAGGACCAGATATATTCCCTTAATTATACCAATTTTCAGAAATTCTATTCTGAGACCATAACTACCCAATTCTGCATAAAGAATCACATTTACATTTAAATGCAACCAGAGACTTTGCAAAAGAAAATGAGTGAAGAAAAGAAACCTAAAAACAATTCTTTCCCTCTTTTCTTAAAACCAGAAAATACTTATGAAGGAAATTTTGCTAATGAATACAGTAGGCTGGTTTGTCACACACCAGAAATCCATTGGCAAACAACTAGAAGTCATATCAATTAGAACAATTGTGAAAACAGTTATTCAGAAGACTTCTGAGGAGCTACCAAGACATGAGAGGCTGACATGCAGACAAAGAAGAGTTCAGAGACAGCAGCCTACCACTTGATGCTGCCTCCCTGCTAGAGACACTTGATGATCAAAGGGACATCTGAATGGCTGAAAGGCCAAGCCCTGAATATAATAATCTCATGGAATGGGAGTAATTAAAACTGGAGGTTAGGACCTGATAAAAAGGAAGATTTCTCTTGGGAAACTTGAAAGACAAGAGTATGGATAAATAAGCACAAAAGAAGTGTTTAAAAATACTACAACCCAGCCTCAAATTAGTTCCATATGATTCAATTTTAAAATGCCACCCTTATTCTGACTGTCAGAAGTAAATGCAAGTTCTGTCTAGAAAGTCAATATAGTCAAGCAGTTTGAAGGCAAAATGCATAATTTAAGTAGAGGAATGGAAACTGTACAAGAACATGATAACAGAATTCTAGGATGGAAAATACCATAATGGAAATCAGAATACAACTGGTGGAATATCAGAAAACTGCAAAGAGCACAAAAAGTTTAATAGATGGAAAGATATGTCAAAATTTAATATTGAACCCAAATTAAAGAGATCAAAACAACAGAATTTTTTTAAAAATCAAATAAGACTCAATGAGAACTTGTAAAAAGTTCCAACAACTGGAGTCCTAGACAAGGGAAAAACAATAAAAATTAGATTTGAAGAAATAATTACCAAGAACTTTCCAACATTGATGAATGATCATGGTGGTGAACAATTTCACAAATCATGCCACGCACTTGAGAAGCACTATGAATTCCATTGGCCAAGACACAAGAAATTCAAGGACACATAGAAAAATTTTAAAGCAACCAGAGGGGGGAAAAATGACTTCTAAACAGAAGTCATTGAGACCAGAAAAAAACAGCATATCTTCAAAGATTGAAAGAAAATAGCATGAAACTAAAATTCTGTAATCAGAGGGAAAATAAATGAAAGCAAAATGGACAATTACAGACAAACAAACACTCAAACAATTCATATATCTTTATTACAGAAAATATAGATAAAGAATATACTCCAGATCACAAGAAAAGTATATCAGCTGAAGCACAAATAAACAGAGATGTACTACATCAACATAAATATAAGCTCTATGTAAAAATAATAAATATAATGATGCCTTGTGAGGTTTAGTATTTATAAAGTTAGAACATACGGTGAAATAACACAAAATAGTCAAATGAGTAAAAAGAATTAAAGCATTCTAAGTCCTTGCATGTTCTAGGAGATAGAAAAGCAAAATTCATGTTAGTCTTTTTAAAAATGCTATTCATTTTAATATCTTTGAGTAGTCACTAAAAATTATAAGATATAAATAATATATAACTAGTAGAGAAAGAAAAAACAAGCTAATTGTAAGAAATTTTCCTGTATCTATCTTCTATTTTTTAGAAGTACCTTTGGATAATTTATTTATTCTGGCTTCAGACTATAATTTGAAATGTGGGCTCTTAAATATCTGGGCTTATTTTGCATCTGCCTACTGTATGCCAGTTCAAAGAGAGTATGGTGAATGAGAACCAGAGCGGAAGACAGAAAGCCAGAGTTTGGAATTCCTAGGACACCCATGAGCTGCTGGGAGCCACTTTGAAGCCATACCTAAAAATTGGGCTTCATTAGCACTTGCCTGATTCTCTTCAGTTATCCAAAGACATACAACTTAAAGAATCAAGCCTCTTCCCAATAGACACTGTTCAAACACATTAACCAAATTGAAGTCCAGGACACACACATTGCAGAGTCAGAATAGGGCAGGCAAGGTTGCAGTAAGCCAGAAACCCTGGAATCTCAGTGGTTAATACTGGAAATGTTTGGTTCTGCTTCAGCTACAGTGTGTTCAGGGTGGGCAGGTGTCTTGGGGTTCTCCTTCAGAAGTGATGCAGGAGAACGGCCTCATCTTCAACACAAGATTTTCATGTTCACCATGAAAGAAAAAGGAAAAAGGATCAGGGTCAAGACTGGAAATTGAACACAGTTGCTTCAACCCACATAATAATTGGCTCAAATCAAGTTAAGTGACCCTAAATTAATTTCAAAGGAAACTGGAAAATGTAGTCTTTTTTATGCCAAAGAAGAAGTGGGGTTGATTAGTATTCAAGCCTATCTGACAAAACAATGATGTACTAGTTGCGTTCCAGTGCATGTGTACTTAGTGACCTTGCTATACTTTTATTTTTCAAAATAAAGGCATTTTAGCTTCTTTCACTTGATTTTGTTAAAAACAATTAGCCAAAATTTCACTTTGATAAATCATCAGATAAAAAATGCCATATTCTGAATGAATAATTTGTTTGGCCAAAATATAAATTATGAATTTTCTGCAAATACAAAATACAGATACATGGGTGAGAAAAAAAATCAAACTCTTACTCTTTAAGATATTTTGTAATAAGAAAGCCTGTGCATATTGGTTGCTTAGAGAGAGAAACTCCGCTGGGACTCATATAGTCACATCAGAGAGATAGCTATGTTTTTATGAGTCTCCGTGCACTCCCAAATCCATCCTTATAAGTTAGGTGACCCAATCCAAGAGACTCAAAACTCGGAATATTTTTATAAAAACAAGAACATCCACACATTTAAACTAGACTCAAAATGAAATGTAAGAGTAACTACTTCCACACCTCTCACAAATGTACAGATCTTACTTATTATAAGGGGAAAAAAAAAAAAACTTCCAGGCACGGTGATACAGGTCTGTAATCTCAGCAATCAGGAGGCTAAGTCAGGAGGGTCCTTGTGAGTTTGAGACCAGCCTGGGCTACCAAGTGAGCCCAAGTCCAGCCTAAACTGCATAATGAGATCCTGTCTCAAAAAGAAAAGAAGAAAAAAAGAAAACTAGCTTGATCTGAATGTACCACAGTGATATATAAAAGGTATTCTGTCTTTTAAACAAGTAATGTTTCTGTGTTCAGTTAATTTGGGGAAATACTTTTCACTGTTTTTGTTGTTTTATCCTGCAGAGCTTTTAAAAGTTCAATGTGAATTGCAAATGTCCAAAATACAATTGTATGTGCATACACATGGGCAAGCACGCATGTGTGTTGAGAGAAAAAACGTAAAGATTTATTATGGGAATTGGGCCATTGTGATTCCAGAGGATGAGAAAAATCCCAAAGTCTACTGTTTGTAAGCTGAAGAACTAAGAAAACCAGCAAGCACATAGTGCAGTCTTAATCCAAAGACCTGTGTCCCACAAACGCCAGTTACCAGGAGCATTTGTGTCTGAGGGCAGGAGGACGGATGTCCCAGCTGAAAGAGAGTGACCTTACACATTCTGAGCCTTTTTATATGATTTGAATCAACAGATTCAATAATGCTTACCCACATTAGTGAAGGTTCTTGTAACTCTCTCTCTCTCGAACACCGAAATATTCTGGAAAAATCCTCAAAGACACACTCAGAAATAAAAATTTACCAATGATCTGGGCATCTCTTGGCTTAGTCACATTGAGACATTAAAGTTAACCATCACAGTAGCATTGTCCATGTTTATTTGACCAAGTACTCTTTGACAGCATAGGAGAAAATGGTCTTCAGGTACCTCAATGAGTGATCTGTGAAGGTGGATGTCCCTGGAGTAACCAGATAACTTGCAAAACATACGTGACAGAATCTCCAGCTCAGATTTGTGCAGAGCCAGAGGCCCAGGGAGAAATGAGCAAAGATTATCGTTATTCAAGATTTTTTTTTCCATGAGAATTGGGAATTAGATGAAGTCTCTGAACTTTCTCACCAGCTTATGTTTCCATAAATTTATGAATCTAAGCCCTTTGGTGATGGGAAGACATCTTGTATTTTCAAGACAACATTTCCAAGAAATCAAAGAGACCCTTGGACAATGCAGTGTAAAATTTGAAAGTAGGAAAAGGTACATTACATTTGGAGAACATTTCAGGATAAGCTACCATATGTTCTCATGGAAACATTCATCTTTAATCCATGCAATATACTCAAAATCAGAGAAATATTTTTGAAACATAAATCAGGTAAAATTATTCTCTCTTGTTGGAAAAAGTAGACAAACACTGCTGGAAAAATACCCAGGAGGGGAATACTTGGGTTGCATTGGACCTCCCATCATAGTTTTTTGTTTTTTTTTTTAATCTCCACACTGATTTCCATAATAGTTTTATCTACAGTCCCACCAGCAGTGGAGAAGGGTTTCTTTTGCCCCACAGCCCCTCCAGCATTTATTATTGATTGACGTGTTGATGATAGCCATTCTTTCTTGTGTGAGATGAAATCTCAATGTTGTTTTGCATTTCTAACATAAGCAATGATGTTGAACAGTTTTTCATACAAGAACTGAAAACATACCACAGCAATATATGTGCACACATGTTTTTAGCAGTGCAATTTATCACAGTTAAATCTTGGAACAACCCAAATCCCCATCAACTGAGGAATGGATAAAAAAAGATGTTCTCTTGCTAGTATAAGAACCTGAAAGAATAAATAGGATCTGAAAGGTACAATAGATACTGTGAAAGGGAAAGAATCTGTTCAAGGGGAAGGAGCAACTTGGATGAGGAAAAGGAAAAAAGAA